AGAAGTCCCACCCGTTCCGAAGGTCCAGAGCGCCTCCGATTGACATCCCGACCTTCTCTGCCTTCTCAGTCACCCGGGGTGGGCTGTATATCTCCATGACGTCCACCCCGTACTTCGTCTTGGTGGTGGCATAGATCAAGGTCTTCACTTGCTTCGGGATCTCCTTGGTTGGCTGTGGCCACTCGTCGTCCTCCATCGCCCAGTAGCTGTTGCTGTAGTTGCACGGAAAGACCCAGTAGGCGTGGTTGTACCTGTAGTTCGTGAAGTCTTCAGGACGACGTAGGTCCACCTTCATCCACTTCTGTGATGAATTCTCGTCGTGCAAGAGGTAAAGCTCGGAGGGATCTCCAAGCCATCGTGGTGCATATGGGGCTTGAACAGCTCCATCGTAGCCGCATGCCGTAGAGCATGTGCAACAGATCACGAACGCGAGCTTCTGCATGAGGCCCATTCTCTGCTGCAGCGGCTTCTCCAACTGCTTGGAGTGGTAGATCATTCTTCGGACTTGGCCACAATGTCCCGGTCGATCATCTGCACATCGTCCCAGGTGTCCGTGTCGGAGTGGACTTCCATGACCTCCTTGTCCATGTTGAACCTCACTGGTGTCTTGGCCCTCCGTGTCGGCAAGGTTCCCGTGAGAGTTCTGCCCCGACTCCTTTGCTGGGATGTGCTCCGGTCCTCGTTCTGGTTGGACTTGTGGTCGGTCTCGCCGTTGGTCTTTTCCAGGGTCGTGCCATCGGGCTCCTTTGAGTCCTCCGGCATCTCCTGCATCAGGCCCTCCGACGTGACCGTCGAATTGATGGGGTAGCTGGTCACCTTGCTGACGGTGACCTTCTTGAAGCTGATGTCCTGGCGGCTGCGTGGCGGCGGCAGTACCTTGGGGTGCTCGGTCGTTGGCGCATTGCACCTCACCGTAGACGTGCTGCTGCTGGCTGTGGCGTTCTCCAGTGGCATTCGTTCCCACCGGGATCCGCATTGAAGGCACGTCCACCAGTAGCAACCCCGGCCTGCTCGGTGTCGTAGGTACTCGTGTTCGTGGGGACATTCGGCTGGTTCTCGGTTCCAGTTCTTCTGGGCTACCGACCTTGACAATTGGGCGCCGATCCCCTGCCTGACGTCGTTCACGGTCTTCTTCTTCAGGCTCTTGTTGGTGTGCCGCTGGAGGTTCAGCTTCTCCTGCTCGAAGTCCTCGTTCTTGGTCTTCATGAGGTAGTCCACGATCATTTGATCCTGAGCCACCTTGATCAAAGCCAGGAGTGCCAGCGAGAGTCTCCTCCAAGCTGAACACGGATCTTTCTTGGCCTTCTCGGTCTTCTCGGGCTCCGTGGTCTCCCTCACCAAGCGAGCTGCCCTCTCCTTGAGTGACGATGCCATGGCAGCAGAGGACGGGCAGGATCCGGGCCACTAGTCGACTAAGCATTGAGCTCGGCTGCGGCCGATCCAACTCGTTCTCCAAGTCCAAAGTGGTGTGAGGTTTCTCCCTTGCATCTTCAACCTCGTCATCAGACATGAAAAACTGCTCAGCACAATGACCGTCACATGCACTCCGGGGGTTCACAGGGTTCCTTAGGATCTGCTGGTCGGCCCACCTGACTTGCCTTGGCAATGTTGTGCATGTGGTGAAGGTGCTTGTGGTGGCTGATGCTTCAGGTTGATTGCTTGCGTGTTGTGAAACTCGAGGTCCAGGGCCCTTTTACACTTTGCGATAAGGGTCCTGTCGCGGGCGGCTACTGCTTGAAGCCGCCTGTGAAGCCGAAAACGGTGGCGGCGAATCGTCGGGGAAGGCAATTGTCGCGCCGATCAATTTCAGACCCCACCGCTGCTTCCAGTCAGCTTCCTGGAGTCCGTGGAGGCGATCATCGATTTGCAGAACGAGCTGTGCATCATCAACGGCACTCCCACACCAATGACGAGGTTGCCATCAGCACACCGCACTATCAACATCTTGGACTTCGACCAGGATGGTTGGGACCTTCCAGTGGAACGACGGAAGAACCCCAAGATCGATCCCTTCAAGCTGCCGCCTAAGGGAACCACGAACTTCTTTGAGGGCGGCACCATCACGGTGTGGCTGCAGTCAACCAAGGGCACGACCTTCGTGCAGACGCTTCCGGGAGGCCGAGATCACCTGGTCATCCCCAATGAGTGCAGTGGTCTTCCAAAGGAAGGCTTGTCCCCGCATCGACGGACATTCGCAATTTTTGCAGACGGCCACGACATCACCATTGATGATCGTTGGCCAGGCCCACATGGTGCTCGTGCCCTGTCCAAACCATGGTCAGGCTCGGTCATTTTTCATGTGGGCGGTGACGGCGAACAACCTTTTTGGGAGTGTCTCTGAGGATGGTGAACCTCAGCACACAGTTGTTGGAGGCTATCCCCAAAGGCACCTCCATCATCGACTCCACTACCGCGGCTCCACCAATGCCGCCAGCTCCAGGAAGGGGAACTCCAGCGCTCACCGGCAGAGGTCGAAGTCCTCTTCGATGCAGCTTAATGGTGAGCTGCCTCATCGCTGTGCTGCCTATGACTGCATCTTCAGCCGCAGTGTCAACCAAGGCTTCCTGTGGTCGGCACTTGACTCCGGCGAAGATCATCAGCCTTTTCGCAAGCGTTGGTTGGGTGGTTCTCGCATCGGTCTGGGGCATCTCCTTGAGGTTGGTGGTCGTCATGAAAACCATCGGCTGGGTCGTAGTGTTGTTGCCCGAGCTTACCACGAACATCTTCTTGTTGGTGCTCTTCCCAGCACCCTTGGTCTGAAGCGGGCAGTCCTTGGCGTAGTGGCCCAGCTCGTTGCAGTTGAAGCAGCGGGTTCGCAGGATGAGGTCCTCTGACGTTCCTCGCATCTGCCCCTGCCCCTTTCCTTTATCACCACCTTTCCCTTTTCCACGGCCGGAGAATCGGAACTTGCCCCGACCCACCTTTCCCATCACGAAAAGGCGGGCCTCTCCGAGTGTAACCGCGATCAGTGCGGCGCTTCTGTAGCTCCTTTCTCACATCTCGGTAGGCGGAGACGTAGGCTTCCAAATACTTCGACTCCTCCTCCGTGTACTCACGGTCCTCCATGAAGAAGTGAGCGTTGCCCTCGTCATCGACGGCGACCGGATTCTCCGGTTCATCCTCGTACTCCCACTCCGGTTCGTACTCGTACGGGTAGTCTACGTGGTCCTCGTGGTCCTCGAAGTTGCCGCTGTAGTGATCGTAGTCATAGCTCTCGGGGAACTCCTGCAAGTAGTGCTCCTGGTGGAAGTTCTTGGTCACCTTGGTGTCCTCTCCCCGAGCCAGCATCTCTGGCCTGTCCAAAGGCCGAAGCATCTCGGCAAACTCGTTGAAGCCACGAAGGATCGGCCCCTTCAGGGTGATCATCTCTCGCTGAAGTTCATTTAGTCCAGCTTGGCGTAGGAGAATGCGGCCACATAGTTTGTCACAAACCTTCTCACCAAGGAAGGACTCCATCTCTTGTCTAGCAATCTCCTTCGCCGCGATGAACGAAGTGTAGGATTCCCCTTTCTGGCGCTCGCCCTCAAAGAGGAACCGGTCGATGGCCTTCGGCCCCGAGGCCTCGAGCACCGGGGCGTACTTCTCCTGAAGGGCCGTGAGGATGGCACTGTAGCCTCTGCTTGAAAGAAGCACCTCAGTCGGCACAGTGTCTGCGATCCTCCTCGGCTGAGAGCCTTCCTGAAAGCTCTGCAGTAGCTTGATGCCGCGCTTCTCCAACGGCACCTGGCTCTCAAACTCCCATATAAGGCTAGCAGCTTCAGCCACGATCTCAGAGTCGCAGCTGCTCCATTCCAGGTTGGAATCGCTCGTCGTTGGCCCGTCAGAGCTTGGCTCAGTGCTTGGGCGATGAGCTGGTCATGACCTTGATGATGTCCATGTTGATGCGCTCGATCAGGAAGTGGCGACTTTCCCAGCATCTCAAAAGCAGAAAGCACCCGCCTCGGACCCGGGCTATCTTGGAATGAATCCAAAGCGGCTGCAAAGCTAGACGCATTCACTCCGGGCGGTGGTAGTCCTGAACCAGCTCTGTCAGATGGTCCAGGGGGCCCAGCATTCGGTCCACCTCCTCCAGGGAAACCAGGGGGCGCAGCACTCGGATCAACTCCTCCAGGAAAACCAGGTGGTACAGCACCTGAGTGATGAGGTTGACCTTGCTGCGGTGCTAGGCAAGGGAATTGACAATGTCCCGGATGTTGGAACGCGCCATTGGCTGGGAAGCCCGGCATTCCACCTCCATATTGCGTTTGGGCTCCAGAACTAAGGTTGCCAGGGGCCAGTCCTTGAGGCTGAGGCCCGAAAGCAAGGTTGCCAGGAGGTCCTTGATGAAGCCCTCCTGGTTGGCAAGGGCCTGGTGCCGCAGGTGCAGGTGCTCGGCTTGAAGCGTCACCCTGCGGTCGCGGTCGATTGTCCGCGAGGTACTGTGCCCAAGGATCCAAGGCAGATCCTGAGCTAGTACCACCGGCGAAGGTCCAAAAGGATGGCCTCGGCGTAGGCGAAGCAGCGCCTGGCCCATGGCCAGGATTCGTAAACATGGCTCCGCTACCACTGTGGGTAGAAAGTGCTAAAGGCGGCTAACGCCTTTTCCTTCCATCTACTGTCTGCGTCAGCGCATATGACTCAAGGCCTGCAAGAGGCGACATGCCAAACCCATAACGGTGGTTTACATGCTTTCACAGAGAAGCATGGCAAACAATCCATGTCAGTGACAAACAAAAACCACTGCGACGGCATCTTGGGGACCGCCTCCCAACTCCCTTTCACAAGAGAAGGCCCATGTCAAAAAGACGGCCAGATCCCGGTAGCTTCACAGCCTGGTTCATCCATGGTGTCACTAGAACGACGCTTTTTCAGTGGTTTCCGTGGCCGCATACATGCAGGGACATCAGGTTGTTGTTGTTGTTTTTGGAGGGAACTGGTGACAGCTTGTTCTCGCCCAAGCCTCCTGCTGCTACTGTGGGTCGATTCATTCATGTCACCCCCCTTCCGTGCCCCAGATCCGCCTGGACTCGCCCTGGTCAGGCACCTGACGCAGTTCTGATGCTGGAAATTGCACACCCTGGATAGCAAAGTTGCGATCGCTTCTTTCAGTCACTGTTGCTGGTTTTTGGATGGTAAAGTCCATGGATAAAAAAAGAAAAGATCGCAACTGGCGATCCAGGACTTTAGGATCGGAGTTGCTACTTGATGAGTTTGTTCACTGATTCACAAACATTGTAGGAAGAGAACCGTGATGGCCAACATAGGGAGGGGTGGGGGTTTTGGGTTTTACACACCCCGCCTCGAAGATTTACGTAGAAGTCAAAAATACTTACGCAACTACTTGTAGCGGAAGCTCCTCTTAAAAACCGTCTTCAACAGTTCATGCTGCAGGGGTGTTGGGACTCTCTTGAAAATGCGCGTCTTTCAGTGGGAAATCAAACTGGGCAGCGCGAAATGGAATGTCGCCCAGTCCGATCTCCAGGTCACCTGCTGAGAAAGCCAAGCAACAGCAACGCTCAATTCCCGCGCAGCACGCCTCTACAAATTGCTCATCTGGCGCTCTCGGCCCACATTCATTATGGAACCCCCAAGAAGTGGAGGTACAAGGCGGCCGGGTGGTTGTGAGCCCGTTTCGATTCTTGAGGGTTCCCGAAACGGGTTCCGTAGGGAGCCTTGCGGAACCCCCCCCCCAAGAGCCCACAACTACAAACGCGAGGACCAACCACACCACAACACACAAACTCCTTCAAACAGATTCGACCACGCGACGCAGCCACAAACACAACACCCCACCCACCCCTCCCCTCCCCACCCCACCCTCCCCACCCCTCCCCACCCCACCCCACCCCACCCACCCCACCCCACCCCACCCACCCCACCCCACCCCCACCCCACCCACCCCACCCCACCCCACCCACCTATCCCCCCCGTTTACCCGCGCCTCAAGCTCGAGGCGCTCGGAACCGAAGGCCTCCACCAGGCGCAGGCCTCGTCGCAGCCCACGCACCTCCACCTCGATCCCATCGATCCGATCCGATTCGCGGGGGCGGGAATCCGGGACGCGAGAGGCGGAGGCGCCGGGGGCGAAAGAAAAAATCCCGGGGGTGGTGTGGCTTCTGCGTGGCCAGGAAATGCCTTCAGGATTCAAGGCGGAAGTGGGTCTGTTTTTGTTGCTAGGCTGCCCCTTCTTCGGTGGTTTCAAAGGGAAAGAAATTGCCGTACACCCAGAAAAAAGAAATCTAAAACCTGGCACCGAAATAGGAGACGGTCCTGATATATGTGACTTGATGTGCCTTGGAAACAAAACTCAATAATTTGAATGGAGGTTATGGGGTACTTCGAAGACAGTCGTGAGACAATCATGTGGGGAATCATTTAGCCCCTGATAGTTTGGCCAGCTTCTGCTTCAGATGTTGTCTACCCAAAGTCTCCAAAAATATTTGGGTTGGTCGCGCCGGCCGCGCATGAATTTGAGCAAGTCATTGTGCAAGTATGCGTACATAACTACTAGGTCCTCCAGTAGAGAGGTTCGAATAAGGGTACCTTTTTTTCTGTAGTCTATTTTAGTAGGGGAGCCCAGCTCCGTTTTGCTTCTTGCACGTGTGGATACCGGGTGCCAGCTCCGGAACGGCTCCCTTCCGACCAGCTGCACCATCTGGAAGGATTCATGTGAGTCACAATCAAAACCCGGTGTCAAAATGGCCGATCCCCAGAACCATGCTTCAAGAATTAAGAAGGCGGCCGCAACTATTTCTGGCTGGGACTGCCCCTTACAAACCTTCATCCACCCGGGTTTTGATCGTGGCTCATGCGAAGGTTTGTCAAACGTAGGGGCCCTATTTGATTTCCTCTTTGTTCAGGCGGCAGAGATCGGCGATACCAGGTCCCAAGAAAAGTCCATATTTTTGACAACACCCCATGTATAAACAGGAACGGTAGCAGGTGTCTTACATGTCCCTTCCAACCAGCAGCTAATCCGAGTCTGGAAAATACTGTGGATGGACGAAATCCTTCACAGCTTTGAAACCAAGGGAAGCAAATGTTGGTTGGCATTTGCAGGGGGTACCATCATTCCAGGGCTTCTGAGATTGTTCGAAAAGGATTTCGTCCATCCACAGCACATTCCCTTGAAACCAATCGTATGTGGCTTTTTCCGGGCGCTGATCTTGCTTCGATGCTTTTCAAGGGAAACGAAAAGTTTACGAATCGACCCCCAAACATGGGCGCAAGGGCTTCCTTTTGGCTTGTCTTGGAACCCACTCCAAAACTCACTTCCCATCGAGTCGATTGGATCCTAAAGCAAGTAACCAAGCCTTCTATTCACCCAAATGGCAACCAAACCCCAAAAAGCGCTGAAAGCCCGAAGCGGCACTCCGGAAGTGAGACCAGGGCTACCCTCCCATCAATTCACGGAAAACCACGGGAAATGGGCCATGCTCCAACCCAGGACCCCCCGAACGTCGAACGGTTCCATGCGCGCCTGAGCCTGGCCCAGGCCCATTCGCCGGCAGAAGCGCGGCCTCCGTTGAAGCTCCAGGCGAAGCCACCCGAACACGCAACGGAAAATACGGGTGTGTCTATCGGGAGCCCCAGCAAAATTGAAAAGGCCACCAGCATGAAGTCAAAGCAGTTCCAGGACTACATCGTCATCACCATCATCTATCATCTATCATCCACCATCGTCCATCATCGTCATCACCACCGTCACCATCACCATCATCATCATCATCATCATCATCATCATTATCATCACGACCACCATCACCATCATCCACATCATCATCCATCATCATCCATCATCATCCATCATCATCCATCATCATCCATCATCATCCATCATCATCCATCATCAGCACCCTCATCATTACCACCACCATCACCATCACCAACAACATCACCATCACCATCACCAACATCATCATCATCACCATCTCCATCACCATCACCATCACTATCACCATCATCCATCAGCATCCATCATCATCCATCATGAGCACCATCATCATCATCATCATCATCAACACCATCACCCATCATCCAGTATCCAACATCACCATCGTCATCATCATCGTCATCATCACCATCACCATCACCATCATCCATCATCATCATCCTCCATCATCATCTTCATCACCATCACCATGCACATCACCATCACCATCATCATCATTTTCCTCACCATCACCATCAGCATCACCATCACTCTTACCATCATCGATCATCATCCATCATCATCCATCAACATCACCATCGTCATCATCATCACCATCACCACCATCACCATCACCATCATCATCCATCATCCTCCATCATCACCACCTTCACCATCACCATCCATCATCATTACCATCAACATCATCCATCATCACGCATCATCATCCATCATCCTCCATCATCACCAATCGTCGTCGTCATCATCATCATCACCATCATCATCACCATCATCCATCATCATCCATCCTTCCATCCTCATCACCAACAACACTCATCATCCATCACCACCCACCGTCGTCGTCATCATCATCATCGTCCAGCATCTTGCATCATCGTCACCATCATCATCACCATCCTCCACCATCATCCATCACCATCATGATGCATCATCATCCATCATCATCACCACCATCACTCATCATCCATCCTCACCCATCGTCGTCGTCATCATCATCGTCATCATCCATCATCATCCATCATCATCCATCGTCATCCATCGTCATCACCATCACCATCACCATCATCCATCATCATCCATCATCATCACCACCATCACTCATTATCCATCATCACCCATCGTCGTCGTCGTCATCATCATCCATCATTATCCATCATCGCCATCACCATCACCATCATCCATCATCACATCACCACCATCACTCATCATCCATCATCATCCATCATCACCCATCGTCGTTCTCGTCGTCGTCGTCGTCGTCGTCTTCGTCGTCGTCATCATCATCATCATCATCATCATCATCATCATCATCATTATCATCATCATCATCCATCATCATCCATCATCATCACCACCACCATCACCATCACCATCATCCATCATCATCCATCATCTTGATCATCGTCATCATCATAGCGTTTTGATCCCCGTGTGGCAGTATTCGTGCTCCGGGATTGCTGCGGTGGGTTCCCGCTCAGTGACGCTGCTGCCAGCCAGACGGGTACTAAAAATCGCCGAGCCACGCACGTGATGACAGTCATTGGCTTCTGGAAGCTGTCAAAAAACACCAAAGGGACAATCCTCGGTTCCTTTTTGCTGGGCAATTCAAAATGGAAGCGAATCCGCTCTTAACTTACCCCCCCTCCCCTCTCCACCAGCCCCCATGGTTATCTGGCCTATGGTCATGATTCCCTTGCTAGGAATCATTATAACAGGTGGATGACCATCCCTCCTAACCCAAAGTAGGGAACCATTCTTTTGACCATGGCACTCCTACGGACCCCGAAGCATAGCCGACACTTCGGGCGCCCTTCCCTTCTGGTTGTCGTGCTGGTCTCGGGAAGCCATGAGTCTCAGCCTCCCTCCAACTGGTGATTTGGATCCCAGTGGTTTGGTTCAGGAGGGGTGTTTTTAATTTACCCTCCACAGGAAGCAGGGACCCGTTCAATCCAAATCCAAACCACCAATCCAAACCATCAACTCATTACCCCAGCGCTAAGAAGCAGCTGTTGGGAAAACAAGTCGCGGGATCTTGGGATCACGACCCTAGGTACTGTGGATGGCTACGAATTCCGCTTCTCGCACCACGAGTAGATTAACAAAATCTGGTCCGGGCCGAAAACCTTTGGGCCCTGACCCTGTCCCCGTGTGGAAAACAGATGGGGATTCCCATGGTAGATCATTGAAACCAGCGGGTAAACCTGGTTGATCTATCAGGGGAAAAACAAAAACAAAAACAAAACCGACCAGCGCAAATCGTTTGGTTTGGTTTGATCGAAATAGAGGGAGAAACAATAGTCCGGTTGTTGATCGCCCTCGTTGTTTTTGCAACCAAGACAATGACCAACAAGGACAAAGGGACACCTAAGGTCCTCCGTTAGAACAAGGGTACCCGTTTTTTTCCTTCTTGTTTCCTTTTTTTTATTTTCGTTTTTGTCTATTTTGAGTAGGGGAGCCTCGGGGCCTCCTCCGAGCCAGCCCCAAAAACGGGGCGAGAAAGGGCACTACCGGGACCTAGACCCAACTCGCCCGTCGGCCTTTTGGCCAGCACCAGCCGAGCTTCGTAGGGGGCCGCCAGCGCGAGAGCTTCCGAGAGACACGGGAAGCGCGGCGGAGCCTGCGGGCTCGGGAACCCCATTGCAGACCCCAAGAAACGGCGGGGCTCCTTTTTATCGGGCCTTGTGGGGTTTTGTGGGGGTTTTGTGGGGGGTGTTGTGGGAGCTTTGTGGGTTTTTTGTTGGGCTTTGTCGGGCTTTTTAGGGTTTTGTGGGGTTTGTGGGGTTTTGTGGGGGTTTGTGGGGGTTTTGTGAGGTTTTGTTGGGTTTTGTGCGGTTTTCTTGGGTTTTGGTTTTGTTGGGTTTTGTAGGGTTTTTGAGGGTTCCTCTGGGTTCTTGTGGGAGCCTTGGAGAGTTTTAGCGACCCCCCCTCTTGGACCACCCTCCCCCTAGCTTGCGGGTTCGATTGGCAGGGAATTGATCCCCTGATTTGGTTCAAGCCCTTTTCGGCTGGTGCCTGAAACAGTTTTGAAAGCGGAAACCGACTCTGGTCGTCCGAGTGCACCAAAAACGGGTTCCACATCCCCCAGATCCGGAACCCTTTCAACTGGGACGGCAACCCTTGGTCGAACTGGGTCAAGGACGCTGCTCGGAGCGGCCAGCTTGTTTTGGTCGAGGGTAGCTGAAGTTGGTCAAGAATGCTTGGAGTGACTTGGGCTTTGGTTGAATTTGGTCCAAAATGGGTTGGCCTGTTACATGGAAGCAAGGTCAAAAGGCAGCGGTCCATATCCTGGTGGCTTTACTTTGACTCATAGCCAATTGTTTCGGAAGTTCCACCAATTTCAGTACAATCTTAGAAAAGGGCAAAGGTTTGGTGTAGCCTCCTGCCAGCGGATAAAGGAGAGGATGCGGTTTCGGTCCGTTGTAACACGGATTGTTGGCCAGCACTCTCGCAGCCCCCGTGGCTTTGATGATTGGGGGCTGAGGCAGATCTGGCCAGACTGCTTGAACTTTGGCAACGGCGCTTCACCGGGATCTGCGGCGCAACCTCAGAGGACGAAGGAGTGACTGAAACCGCTTTCGGCGGTGTCTTCGGGGATGCCAAGTGACTGGCATTCCATCCACCCCAGCTGTCGTCGTCCCCTGGGACTGCAGCTTTCGGGGAATTCTCCGGGGTGTTCTCGTTGGCGCTGGGCTCGCACGGCTTGTTGCACCAAAGGGTGCCCCCAAGTGCTCGAGTGAGTTTTTCTTGGGGGTGTGCTAAGGTACCAATGTCTATCCTACCTGCAAACAACAAGCAACTGACTTGTTTTGCCTGACAAATCAAGGCAGCGTGCCGACTCCAGCATTCATTTGAAGGGTTCTCTGAGCTTCTTTCTCACTTCGCCCCCTAAAGTGAATCCTCCACATCTCACGCAGCATGCAGTTTACCAACCTCATCAATGCAGCATGAAAACACGTGGGTCTTTCTGAAAATAGGGGACGTTGCAGGGTGGTTTCCTTTTTTGCCCTCCTTTAAAACCATCCAGAAAGGGCCTGTGTTCGAGACACCCCCCACGTCAATAGAAACCAGCTCCAGGAAACCATGCGGGGAACCCGGGAATCCTTGTTTTTGGTGGGCCTTTGCGCAGATTTGGGCCACTTTCCCGCAGAAGAACCGTGTAGCTCACATGGATCTCCCCCAGTGACCACTGGCTCCGACTGGCTCCCAGCCTGCACCTCACCCGGGTCCGGCGCTTCCAGCAGTTGCAGGGAGAGCCTCGGGAAACGAGAGACGACCACCATGCGGGGAATGGAAACCAAATTCGTCTTAAGGGCATCCCCTCGTTTGTGTTTGTTTTGATGGAAAGGCCGCAAGGAAAAAAACAACACCATGGGGGAAAAACCCTTCTTCTTCTTCTTCTTCTTCCAAGTTGCCACTCGGCAGTGAACAGCAAGCGAATTCGATCCGGGAAAAAAAAAGACACACCAAAGTCCAGTTACCCCACGGTTAATAAGCACCTGGCTGGTTTACGGGGCAATCATGGTCAATTTGAGTATGGTCTGCTCCCTAGAAACCAGCGACGTTTGGGCCCAACATGGCTGTGCGTTCAAAACACACTGTGGGTTCACACAACACGTGCTACGTTTTCTGAGCTTGTGGATTGGTCAGAACAAATCCAGGCTTGTTTCCCCCCAAATTATCTTGGAACGTGACTAAAGTCCACATACAGTCCACCAACTCGGGAGGCAAATTTGCTGATTCATCCCAATTCCTCTCAATCCGGGGCGCGGACCGGCGCAAGTCCAGCAGCACCCTGATGCGATTTTGCCGCTTCTCACCGAAGGAGTTCTCAAAATGACTTTTGCTTTCGCACCGGTTTCCCCGTCAGGCACCTTTAAGGGTAATCTTTGAGGATGTCACTTGAATGAACCCAATCAGTTGGGCGGGTGCAAGAGGGTAGCGGGGTAGGGGGAAGCAAAAATCGAGTGAGAGCTTGGGAGCGCAAACACACTGCTCAGTCGTTCAGTGACCCTGCAAAAAAGGGAACCCTTTTTGGGGAAGACCATTTTTAGTGAGCAGTCACCAAAAAAAAGGGGAAAAAGGGTGCCACTGAACAACTGAGACTGCTCTTGACTTTGGGCACTTGGGCTTGAAGATACTTCCAAGCGACAGGGCGCATCCCTTCGAACTCTTCATGTGCGCGTTCTACACAAGGGACACACGTGAGCAACACGCAATATGACTCAGACTTACAAATACCAATGCGAATGGTGTACTTAATCAATCCTCGAACCGACCCTAACGACAACGAAACATTTGGGCATGTGTCTAATTAAACCAGAGTCTGCGCCCCAAAATGGTCGGCAACTCCGCGATGAGAAGTGTGCCCCAAAAAAGGATCCCGTTACAGTTCGCAGTTACCGCGATCAAACTGCACATTCCTAGGAGCCCAAGACCTTATGATTTCAGGCCTTTGGCGGGTTCCCTCGTATGGGTCTTGGGCTCCTAGTGTTTCCCCCAAAAAATGCCATGGGTCCGCCTTTGACCGGAAAATCCAGCAGCGGCTCCCGGCGATCTCCCGGCCCGGGTTTCAGGTGGCCAATGAGTTGCGCGGCTGTGTGACCTTCAAAAAATGCCCCAGAAAAGCAAGGCCAGGAAGCGAAACCAGCCTGTGTTAAACAGGTGTAAACCACCTCCCATGTGCGTTTTTGAAGAGCCTGGAACAAGTGAGAACACGTGTCCAGTAGTGAAATCGATTCCCTTTGACACCAAGGGAAAATTGCAAATAGTCTTATGCAATTGGACCACTGTTGCTTAAACCTGCCCCTTTTGAAGGGGTGTGGGGGGGGGCAGGGTCTGGTTGAAAAACATGTTTTGCTCAGCACTAAAAAGAAGCCATGCAAACGAAACTCAAAGAGGTGGAGTTGCAGTCTGCTAAGATCGAACTAGCTCCCAAGCCAAGATTCTAATCATATGATTTCCACTACCCCCAGGGGGTTCATGGGATATACTGGCACTATATCGCCACTATACAAAGCGTATCATATACCGCACTTTACCCTGCATTTAGTGGTTTGGGGGGGAGGGGGTGCTGAAAACCATGTTAAGATGGACACACACACACACACACTATGGTGTGTATATATATATAGCCCCTCTATAATCAACTTGCCATGCCAGAGATGAAGCGTAACCCTGAGGTTCAAGGCTCCATCAAAACAGACGGGGTTAAGTAATATATGCTAATATAACCACCATTCTTTTCCTAAGGAGTTTCATCATCCAAATTGGGTCAATTATTTTCTTAATGGGAGTTGAACCCTAGGGGAACGTTGGAAATGACGTAAAGAAACCAGAAGCAACTGGGTGCCGTGGGCGGCCACGTGCACACAACGGCCGGACGCAAAAGAAGAACGGAGTCCGGAGCTTTGTTCGGTCAGGACAAAACTACATCCAAAACAGAAGGCACCTTGAGATCTGGACAACGTGTTCACCTAAGTGGCCGTCATGGGTGAGCTCGCTTTCCCCTGTTTATATTTGTCCAAAGTGACCGCAACATTGCAAACCCATCCGAAGCCAGAAGCGTGATCTTGCCTGCCCCCAATCCCAATCAGACCTTTTGCGACATTTCAAAGGCCCAAAGGCTCCCATTTGTGCGAGAATGGTCCAAACCAGCACCCCCTTCCCCCTTCCCCCCTCTCTTTTTGTGGGGCATCGTGTTAGGCCAGGGGCAACTTTTGGTGTTGGTTGGGCCCCATTCGTCCCAACCAAAAACGCAGCGACGGCCAACTCACCGCCGGAACCTCCAGGCCCGGGCCTGGGCCAAGCGGCCCACGCGAAGCCGTGCATGAGCCAAGACACGGCCTGGCGATCGATCCGCGGCATGGGGGGAAAAAGCTGGACCGGATCAAAGAAGCGAGCTGGGGATGGGCACGAAATCCCATGTTTTTTTTGCTTCTCGCACCACGGAGAATGACACCATGGGAAGGAAACTCCATGAGTTGTTGGTATTTGCGTTGCGAAATCGAATCTTTCTGAAGATTGAAACCACAACATTTGTTGGTATTTACGTCGGGAAATCGAATATCATTCCCATGGGCTGAACGGCGCCGCGTTGGAGTCCTTTCGTCCATCAGTATGGGCCACCGGGCTCCTGTGTGCAATCGTCTTCGTGGCTTGGGGCGCCAGAAGCAGTTGGGAACCAAACCTCGCTGCCGGTTTTCTGATCCCCCGCTAAAGGTGTAACTTTTCCTGGGTGAAATACGGACACCCAACCGCTAAGCACTAAAACGTTTGCTATAAACCCTAAGGAACCGGACCAAGAAAGGTCGCAACATAGACTCTAGAAAGTAAAACACGACGGCGATCAAAAAGCAGTGGCAAGACTTTGGTTTGCAACCCAGCAAATATGAATCAGGGCTCCTAAAAAGGGACCCCCCTGATTTTGCGCGGCAAGTGCAACTTTCACAACTCGGCAACTCCTGCCAAAAAACAGCACAAAACCATCCTCAGATTCTAACCACCAGAGTGGGTTAAAGCACAGGGCCCTCCCCCAACAAACAACCCCCCCTTGTCCACCGTCCAGGCACCCCCCGATAGGTGGAATCGTTGTGTAATTGTCTTGCCCCTGATCTGCATGAGTGGTTTTTGAGACTCCACAAATGATGGATTTGCTTTTGGTTTCCCTTTAAAACCACCCCAACGGGGTAGTCTTTGGTCCTTTTGCTTTTTTGCCCCGGGAAAAAATGAGAACATCTCTCCAGTGACATATGGTGCCCCAATAGGGTACCCTGAAAACAGCAACAAGGAAGAAGGAGAAAAGGGAGAGGCCAATGTCGGCGGAGTGAGCCGGAGGCTCTAAAGAATATGTATATTCATTTCTATGAGTCAGGGTACCCTCACCCCCAAAACCAAAAAAAGCAAGCACCAAACAAACACACATTTAGTAGGGTTCCCAAATAAGGTACCCCCCCTCCCCCCAAAAAAAAACGGAGTGTGTGTGCAGATCGGGTCGGATTTGTCGAGCAGCCACTTAGCCACTTAGCCACTTAGGAAAAAAAAAGGGCAGCCACTTAGCCACTTAGCCACTTAGACTGCTAAGTGGCTAAGTGGCTAAGTGGCTTCCCGCTGGCAGAGTGGCTAAGTGGCTAAGTGGCTAAGTGGCTCCAATGACTAAGTGATTGAGAAGCTAAGTGGCTAAGTGGCTAAGCGGCTAAGTGGCTAAGTGACTTTTTGGTGGCTGCGAGCTTAAGCGATCGGCTTTAAATGGCTACGTGGCTTCCTGATGGCTGAACGACAGAGTGGCCGAGTGGTATAATTGACCCAACTCGACCATGTGTGAATGGTGGAGATAGAGCCCTGGCCTCTTCTGTTTTCTTTGGCAAGGCAAGACCCTCGGCGTGGCGGTCAAGCGGTTGACCGATTGGGTGGTTGTGGCTATGCGCCTAAGGGACGAGGTGGCTTAGTGGCTTGGAAACCGTAAAACTCTTATGGTTTCAGGTTACCAGGTGAAATGACTCGTCGGATCTCTCGACCAACTGCAATCTAACCCCATGGTGAAGTTTCTGTGCCCAAGTCAGATTCCTGGTTTGCATGGGTGGATCCCATTTACGCTTGCAGCCGCACCTATACTCCTAAGGCGTATCCTCTTTGCTTGCACTACACATACTCCCCTGCATCTGCGCACTTTGAAAAAGAGGGTCTCTGGAAATAAATTAATGGGAAGCGATGAGAAGTACAGCTTAAAGCGCTGCTCTCCGGCTGCCGAGAGCTGGCTTTTTGACTTTTTCGTCGATGAGCAGCTGCTGAAAGGGCGTAGGCTCCACAACCTCCTGGCAAAGGGTGACACAGCCAAGACCCACAAAGAACTGTTGAGATTGTTAATTCAACCCAAGACCCGTGGCTACTCTTGGAAAGGGAGACTCCGCACTTCCTTAGTGAAGGCTAATCACGGCCTGCAATCACACAAACGAAGGTTATTGCTTACTTGACCCAACTAAGGGGGTACCCTCGGAGAAGACACACCCAGATTCATCTCATGAGACATCTCCACATACACTAGGTCCTCTAGTAGAGAGGTTAGACTATGGGTACCCAATTTTTCTTGTAGTCTATTTTTAGTAGGGGAACCCTCCCAACCAAAAAAAGGGTGAGAAAAGGCACTACTGGGGGACCTAGTAAAGGAGTTCTTCATGTGTGTCTGTGCGCTCGTCTTACATGAGGTGAGATCAACCAACAACCACCGTTCGGACCATGGGTCTCTCTCTTTTCGTTAGGGTAAAATCGATCAAAAACCAACGCAAGGCGATGAGCGAAGCCTCGCACAAAGGCTTGCAACAGACGGGTGGCCTCAGCTGGCTCACCTGGGTCTAAAACTTTCATTTGCCGAGAACAAACCATTTCATTTAAAACCAAAAGGGAAAATCAACACATGGGTATGGGTCAAAACCAATGGGATTCCATTTTGGGGTAGGTGAATTCACCACCCATCCTAGTGGGATGTTCACTGGGGGTACGATTTGGCTTTTGACCCACTGCCATATTCTCAAGCAAACGGAAGAAAAGCACCGCGCCGCTCGGCACTTTGGGAGTTGTGTTTGAATGGACTACTCCGAGGGCTGCAACGAAAAGGTTGCCCTGTTGACCTAGGAGTTGTTCTGGAAAATGTCTGAAGCCAAGTAGCTTCAGATCCAGAATTTTTTTTTTGGCTTCCGTTGCAACCAACCCCAACAAGGGGAATCCACAAAAAAGGACGGGCCCAAATGTCTCCAGATTCTCTCATAAGCTCTCTCAGACGCCGCGCGGAGTTTCGCAGCTTCACCTTGATGTTGGAAATTGCTCGGAGCCTCGAGACTCAAAAAGGCCGATGCTGAAAACACTTGGCCGTGTGCAATTTGCAATCGGTGGCCAAAACCAGGGTTAGCAGCCAGAAGTACCCGACCATGTTCCATGAAGACACGCTCCTATCCCCATGAGGGATGTGATCTTGGCCATGATAACCTAGCCAACAACAGTATATGGGGGTCGATCAATATGCATGGCCCCACAACGACCATGGGCAACTGTTCTCATTTTGGCTGAAATATCATATGTGCAGAGGTTTTCCCAATGGTTCCCATGTTTACTGGACATTTTGATCAACCACCATATGTCATGTTCAAACATTATCAGGTCATGCGAGCTCCAGCTGGGCCGCATAATTTGGAAGCACATGGCCGCATGCATGATCGTGCCTCAAGCCGACTGATGCTTCTCAATTTAGCTTGGACAAATAAACAAGCGGGGATACGGAGGAAGCGGGGATATCGGGGGGATTCTCTTGGCGTAATTTCCCATAAACTAAGTCAAGGTGCATCAAACGGAGTTGTTTTTCCTGATTAGTGGGATTTCGATGAACAACTAGAGCTAACAATCAGATCCAGCAAATCTAGACCCACAAAGAACTGTTGAGACTGTTAATTTGGCTACTCTTGGAAAGGGAGACTCCGCACTTCCTTAGTGAGGGTGGCTAATCACGGCCTGCAATCACACAAACGAAGGTTACTGTTTCCCAACTACAAGTGTAACTCCAGGACATTAACTAAGCGTGTATGTGGGGGTGGGTGTGGGGAGGGCGGAAACCTGATTGTCTTAGCATCTTGGGGGCGTCTCCAAGACAAGAAGTGCGCGCTGGGAAATCTGGATGTTTATTTTCTTTCTACAACCATTGGATAACGCTAACCCGCTGCGTCATGTTGGACCGGAGTTGTTTGTTTGTTCGTTTGAGACAAGGACCTAATCGGAAGCGATGTATAATTCCAGTTCTGGGGTTTTGGTGATGACTCCATTGGACCAGCATGGAGGGAAGTCGGAGAAAGGGGCTAAACTGCATGAGGCAACCAAGACTCCTTAACCCAGTTGTGCCCTCGCACTTGTTGCTAGACGGCCGTGTTTGTCTGCGTGCCTCATCTGGCTCTCTATGCAAAGTGTTAGTGCACGCAACATCGCTGAATCAAGTCATATTCCTGCACAGCAAGTGCCTCAGCAAGACAGGGCTAAGCCGTCAGTGCAAACATGCAGGATGAGTGCTGTGAGAACAAGCGTAAATGCCTGGATGTTGAGTCTGAGCCACCTGGTGTTACACCTCGAAAGGCTGCAGAAGCTCACGCACTTGTGGCGCAACCTCCTGCTCTCTAAGCTGCATCAAAAGGTCGTGACACACTTGGACTCTCTGCTGGATCAGGGCATCTCTTTCGATGAGGCTTGCGAAGTGCTTGGATGCGAAGAACTGCCAGTTAAAGCGCACGAATGCCATCTGTAGGATGATCTTGAACCAGCGCAACGTCACCCATCGCGTCTGCTGCGGCAGGTACCCTGATAAAGTTGCCCAAAAACGCTCCACGGGCAAAGTGCCGCTGTATACAGGGACCTGGGCAGAAGCAGCGTCCCGGGAGATTTTGGATACTTTGGCAACCACTGTTACTGCAAAACATATCTGGGAATGTTTCGCGCTAAAAGAAAGAGCACCCTGTGTCGCCGAAAATGCATAAGCGTGTGCGTCCAAGGGACAGATGCACGTCTGAGAAGATCTGCTGCCTTTGTCCAGTTCCATAGGCCGCGAAGCTTCGTCTTCCCGCGATACTTGCGGAAGTGTGCTCTCACCTTCCTCGTTACAGCTCTTGCTGATCCACGCAGCAACTTTCCTTTCCGTAGCCTCTTAGTCCGACGAGGCACGCTGTACCACTTGCGGATTCGCCGGGCTTCCGCCAGAAATTCCTTCTTGGACCGGAAACACCAAAACCCATGGGAAGTATCCAAGGACACGTCACAGTTTTGGCAGCATCTCCACAACGTTTTTCGAGGAGGCCTGCCGCCGAACTCCGTCT